CTTACCTGTCATCAAGAAAGCAACAAGAAGTGAAGTGGTAAATGCTTCAATTTGTAATTCTTTTTTGTGGATGAATTGTCAAATATTAAACCTTAGAAAGAACATGAGGCTGCTTTCAAATCAGTTAACTAACACTCAAAAAGCAAAGGTAGAACAGTTTTCAAAATGGATTTTGAGTATAGGTGATGGAACAGCACCAGGTGTACAATGTGAAGAGGGTGAAGAAGGAAAATGGATTGAAATTCCTGAAGATTTACTCATTCCATTTGGAGAAAATGCAGTATCTCACCTCATTGATGTTATATATCCAGAATTTGAAAATCAGCATGATAATCATACTTACTTAAGTGAAAGATCAATTGTCACTCCAAAAAATAGCTTCGTAACTTACATCAATGATTTGCTGTTGGATAGAATTCCAGAATTAGAATACATCTATTTGAGTTATGATTCAGTGGAAAGATTAGCAGGGCAGAGTAATCATCAACCTTTGAATTATGCAGAAGAGTATTTGAACTCACTGGAGTTTGCAGGTCTCCCCTTACATCAATTAAGATTGAAAGTTGGAGCACCTATTATGCTGATGAGGAATTTAAAACAGAATGCTGGTCTTTGTAATGGAACAAGATTAATAATAACCAGATTAGCAACAAAAGTTATTGAAGCAGTTATACTTACAGGATCTCATGTCGGCAACCTTGTCAATATCCCCAGAATCAGTTTGAAACCAGAAAATGTTACTCTACCATTTGTTCTGAAGAGGTGACAATTCCCAGTGCGGGTGTGTTATGCAATGACTATTAATAAAAGCCAAGATCAGACGTTAAAAAAGATTGGTATTTACTTGCCACAACCAGTTTTCACCCATGGTCAGCTCTATGTAGCATTATCCAGAGTGCAAGAAAGATCAGGTCTGAAAATAGTTATTGATAACAGCAATGTTCCTCAAAGTCCAGGATGGAATTATACGAAGAACATAGTTTATAAAAAGATTTTTCATAGCATGGGATAATTTCAATATAATATATCCAATTCATATTGCTTTTCTATACTTGCATTTGACATCTTTCAGTATAAAATTTCAGAATCATTATCTTTGTAAAACTTTAGTTTTAATTAATATCAAAACTGATATGCTTCCTTTTTATAGTTTTTTGTTATCCTTGGGAATATTAATCCTCATATATTATTTAGTCTCATAGATTATTTAGTCTCCCCTCCTATTGTCTTCCCATTTAAGTATTATGACCATGCTTCCTCGGCTTAGGCTAAAGATAATAACCCCACCAAAAATGGCTCATTTGTTTACTTTGGCTTTTATTGTAGAAGTTATTTACTTTCTTTTAGATTGGAGATGGATATTCATATGTGAAGATTTGATCTTGAAAGTTATGTATTCTTGGTGGAAACTAAAATGGAGCATTAGTGTTTTTGTTGCAAGTTTTGGGTACCATTGAACTCTGCTACATGAATGACGACACCCAAGTGAACAATCCATGTAAGACAAAAACTGCAGTAAGATTGCACCATTTAAAAGAATATGAAGTTTAAGAAATGGTTTCTTTTACCTGTCATTATCTTAAGAAACTTTGATGTAAGAACGACAACAACACAAGCAAACAATTAATGGAACAAAAAAACCATACAAAGATTACAACAGGATCAGATTTACTTGCAGAATCTAAAGAGTATTTATAGCAAACTTCTTTTCAACAAAGTAATCAAAATGTTCTTCAATCAAATTCTCAATTATTTGGAGTTGAAGTTGCTGTATCAACAACAAATAAACAAGCAGAATGCATGATAGACCAAGCACTTGCAACTAATATTGGAGAGCAACCCATGGATACAATCAGCTACATTAGAGCTGAAGAGCATGAAAATGAAATGAAAGGTACAATCTAACTATTTTATGTGCGATGCTTAATCTAACTGTTTTCTTCTTCTTCTTTTTTTTATTCATGAAGGTGATGTATTTATTTTTTATGATGCATATAGAGACTCCCTCATAGAAAAGCATTTAGAATCAGGTTTGTGACTATTTGCGAATGTGGTTTTAAATATGAAGTGTAACATTGATAATTACATGTATTAAGACATTTTTGGAGATACAGAGACATGTAGAAAAATGCTATAACTACAGAATTGATAGAGAGACACAAATTAGACAGAACACATACGGTTTGGTATAGGTGGATTCATATTAGTAAACAAATAACAATATTGCAAAGTAATGACTAGGAGAGAGTAGAAAAAAGGAGGGAAGAGAACGAAGGAGAGAGAGGGATTATTATTAAATCCCATGAGTGATTATTATTAGAAATAAAATGACTAAGAGGTTAGGTTGTGTTATTCAAAGAGGGATTATTATT